GGATGGATGGATGGATGGATTGATTGAGCATGACCCTGTAAAACGATGAAGGTTTGTGGAAGGTATAAGAGTAAACAGGGACTATAATAATGTGACAGCAGTACATCGAATGACTTCTTTTAGCCTTCGGCAAAGTAAGTTTTAAATAGAAGATTTCGGAAAAGCACCCCCCTGGAACCAAATGCAGGAAATCATGCGTACATATGCAAATACATTTCTGGTAAGGACATTACGTATTTGACAAGGAAACTTAATTTTTAGTCATAGTCAAAAGTGTGATACTTTGATACTAGTGGGATTAAATAAAATGGACCACATGTTGACAGTCCACTGTGTCATTTAGATTTTTCAGTGAGCATTTTTCCTGTCATGGTTCCTACAGTATAATAATGAATTGAAGCTTTCCAAACAAACAAATTTTGCCCATATTCTCAGTCAACATAATAATTTGACCTGATGATTCAAAACTTCAGATTCTATTTATTTTTCCAATCCAAATTAAATAAAGGAATGTTGTTAGAAAACTACTACTACTAACTAACTTATCTAATACTATCTTGTTCTTTTATAAGAGAATGAGACAATAGGAATTCACTATCTAAACGTCAGAACTACATTACCCATCATTCCTTTGAACGGAAATGTACCACTTTTCCCGCAAAGTGAGTTCTTTTCTCATTCATTGGCCGAACGCCGAGGCAGGAAACGCATGACGAAATATGATTGGCTAGTGCTCTACCTGCTGTTACCCGGATAGACATTGGCTATATATTACGGACAATTGAAGGCGGGGGTTGTAGTTCAAACCAAGAGTCGGTACTAGTCGATAAGAGACTCCGTTCTGTGCTGCAGCGTCAGAAATTATTTGTGTATTTTAAATATGGTATGTATTTCATGTCGTCTTAGCGGCATATAAGAACGATAAACCGTGTATGATAGTGGTTTGTTGGCAATAAATGTAGCAGCCAGTGCGTTTCAGTTATTCGCTAACTGTTAGCCGCTAGCGTTAGCTGTTGTAGTAGCATAGCAGGCTAGCAAGTCGTTATTGGCTGCGATAGAATGGTAACAGAACTAAAATAGGCGGTTAAATTGCCCACCCTTAATCAATGTTATTCCGCAGTGATACACAACGTGGCGGCTGCAAACTCATTAACAGTATTGGTGTTTTCCAGGCTGGTGGTAAGGCAGGTAAAGACTCCGGGAAGACCAAGACGAAAGCCATTTCGCGCTCGCAGAGAGCAGGGCTGCAGGTTTGTCCCATTGAAATTCATTCATTTACTCGGCTGTGCTAACGCAAGCTAACAAGCAGCCGTCGCAGAGGTTACACAGCTGGCCGCCGTCCCTCACCGACAGGCCACTGAACCCTGTTATTCATCCGCGCTAATGTCGTCTCTCTGTTATCGCTTCAGTTCCCGGTGGGTCGTATCCACAGACACCTCAAGTCCAGAACCACCAGCCACGGCAGAGTGGGAGCCACTGCAGCGGTGTACAGCGCGGCTATTCTGGAGTACCTCACGGCTGAGGTGAGCCCATTTATCTCGCACCTTGTCCCTACATATAGTCCCTGTATTGTGGCCTGTGTAAATGTCTAAAAGCTTGGCCCTCTGTCAGGTACTGGAGTTGGCAGGAAATGCATCAAAGGATCTTAAGGTGAAGCGTATTACCCCACGCCACTTGCAGCTGGCCATTAGAGGAGATGAAGAGCTGGATTCACTTATCAAGGCAACTATTGCTGGTGGAGGTAAGGCAACTGTTTGCATGAATGTTGTAAATCACAGATCAGTTTATTTTCAAATAATCAATGAGAAACTGGCAAATGGCATCCCTGAGGCCAAGGTGTCAACACTAACCACACATTTATTTTACCATCAGAGCCATACAGTTTACTTGATCACAATTAACCTGCAATAAAAATGCTCATATTGTTGACCAAGTGTTTTGTTTTTGTTGTGACTTCACCGCTCATCCAACTGTCCTTTGTTTTCCAGGTGTGATCCCTCACATCCACAAGTCTCTGATTGGAAAGAAGGGCCAGCAGAAGACCGTATAACCTGAAGTGCTCTGAAGTCTGCATCAAGAAGTGTTTAAATGTCTTAGATTAGAACACCTTTTAGGATTGATTTGTATTGAGCTTGCATCTACTCACCTGGGGTATTTTTTTAAAAGTGGCTTCAGAGAAGCTCATTTTGTTTTTTTGTTTTGTTTTTTTCCTGGTGCTGCAGTTTTTGTGTTAAAACTTGCTTTTGTGGCGTTCCCATGTTTAAAAGTGGTGTTTTAATAAAGCTCTTATCGGGCATTTGCAGTTTGTTCTTTCAGTTCATGCGTTTTCATGGGCCTTGTTTGCTGTTTATCATTTCTAGACTGCAAGTATTTAGTTGATTACTCCAGTGTGGCGTACATGTGTTCGGCTTTAATGGCTGGAAAGAATCCCACCTCGGGTCCACAAAAACCTAAATGACAACCACAGTTTAGGAGTCATGGCATGCTTGGAACTAGCGTAAGCATGTTAACCATCAGTTGCAGCCTCATGTAGTTGCATGGATTGCAAAGCATGTTTTGTATCAGATTACCAGTGGACTGAAATGAACTGGGGGGAACCATGTAGTAACTTTTGGATTCCTGAATAAAGACTGGACTGGCACGGTCAGAACATTTTCCATATTGTGTATGGATGGCTTATTGCATGAAGGCAGTTTAACTGCATTCTGGTTTTAAGAGTAAAGAGATTGTACCATGAACAGTGTAGGGATATAGTTGCATTTTCAATATGTTTAAATTAGAGATTTATTGATCTGTTTAGCTATTAAAACAGTGTAGAAATGCAGTAGTTAAGTATTAATGGTAATCAAAAGATGCTTTAATGAAAGATTAGAGATTAGAAATTCTGGGTATAGTGCTTAAATATAAAACTCAAGATCATCCAGTGTTAAGGTTTTATCGGTTAAATATAACCTGAATAATTGGATAATTTTACAAGGAAGTTCGATTTGATATCAGAAAAAACAGAATTCTATATACAGATTTTAAAGCTGCAGTAGGTAACTTATAAAAATAACTGTCATGTTCTGAAACTTTCACTACGTCCTGGCTAGGTTGAGAATTTAAAGCTGCAAAAATTACTTTTCACATTTGCTGAAATCATTATATCCTGACAGTAGAACATGAGACTAATAATCTGTGAATCTGCATTTGCAAGAATCCACCGGGCCTGGACGAAAACAACCAATCAGAGCCAAGAAAGATATGAAGCTGCTTTGGGTTGGAGGCTTGAAGATAGCTGAGTTTTCATTCCCAGGATCACAAAGCCTACAATCTTAAACTTCCTCTTCAGCCATCGTTTTACCATAACAGTTTCTACAACCACTAGATGGCACTATAACACCACCACCAGCCTCCAGCCATGGCCTCAGTTATTCTGATATATGGAACCTATATAACTTAAAGTCAGTGCCTGTATTTATCACGCAACAGACTCATTCTTGGGAAGGTCTCCTCTGAGAAGGAATGGCATCAGTAACCACAACAATGACGAGCCATTTCTTTTACAGGTAAATGTTCAGGATGATCCCAGACAGCAGAGTGATATGGGATGGACATCTGCAGTGTGTGTGTGTCCAGGCAGATTTATGGGGACAACACCATCTCCAACTTATTATAAACTAGATGGCAAACTAGAAGCTGCACTTCAGATAGAAATACACACTTATATGACTCATATACATGGAATTAACCAATGTTGCACTTTATAAAAAGAAAGTATTTATTGGACTTCATTAACCTAAAATCCATTGTAATGTCAGTAGTCAGTTACAGTACAATGGATAGATGCCGTCTTGTTGTAGACCCACTTTGTGGGTGCTTTATTTGACATACGCACTATAAAAAACTAATGCATAGCCATCTTCTTTCAGAGTACCTTTGCCTTGTCAAAATCTGCATTACCCACAATACAACCTGATCACAGACAGTTCAGGATATTCAGGTACGCTACACTGTAAAACCATATAAGTTAATTTAACTCTGAATACATAATTTTTTAAGGAAAACAAACTCAATTCTGTAATTTAAAAAAGGATTATTGATGAAGAAGCTTTTACTAGAAATCTTAAGGGACACTAACTTAGTTTTGTATTACAGAAACATTCCTGATTAAGTGCTTCTTACCGTGTATTTTGTTTTCACAGTACAAATAAAAATGACAAAATGAATTCAGTGTCAATTAAAATTACTAAAGCTACTTGATCAAGAATGTTTTTTTTAACTTACAAAATTGAGTTTGGTTTACCTAAAATTTTGAAATCTGGTTTTACAGTGTATGTTAATAGGTAATGTACACATGAGCTGCTAGCCAGCAGCAGAGATGAGCAGCAGGCTACAGAGGTCAGGTAAGCTCACTTCTTTCTAACTTCACACAAACTAATAAACGTCTCTAGCCACAACCGACACTGACTCAAGTGACGTCACTTCAGCGCATTCATCAGACTTCACAGCTCCCTCTGGAGACACCAAGGCTTTATGCAGAGATAAACTTTGTGCTTTAACAGCCCTTAGTGGCAGTGGCACAAGACTACACATTTTCATAATTTTGTATAACTAAACTACTCATAACTCTTTGTAAGGTGGCCAGTAAGCTTACTATCTTCTTCTTAACACGTGTTGGCTTTTGGGCAAACAAAAAGACATTTCTGTTCGGGTTCATAATTAAACATGATATGATACATGTTAATAAGTGAGCTTTAGAGGTGTTGGTGGGCATTTTTTTAATCAACCAAGCTAGCTGTTTCACTCTGTTTCCAGTTTATGTCTAAGCTAATCAGGTCCTGATTCCAGCTCAGTACTCAACACACAAACATGATGTCTTCTGATTTTGCTCTCAGAAAGAAAGCATTCTGGCTGTTCCATGAGTTTTATATGTCCTTTTATTTTAACTTAAAGCTGCAGTATAGAAAAATTACTTTTTATCATATTCTCTGAAACTTTCACTATATCCTGACAGTAGTACATAAAAGAGATAATCTGTGAAATCAGGTTCCTCTGGCTCCTCCTAGTGCTCCTAATGACATTTGCAAGAATCCACATGTCTGAATGAAAACAACCAATCAGAACCAAGAAAGATAGTTCAATGTTGAGTTTCATTCATAGGGTGTTTAATACAGACACTTTGGGACCCTGGGAATGAGCCTCAACAATCAACTATCTTCTTTGGCCTCCAACCAAAAGTGTCTTATATCTTTCTCGACTCTGATTGGTTGTTTTTGTTCTGGCCAGAGGAACCTGATATTTTCCACAGATCATCTGTCTTATGTACTACTGTCAGGATATAGTGAAAGTTTCAGAAAATATGACAGAAGGTGTTTTGTACAACTTTAAATTCTGAGCCTATAATGTAAATCTGCTCATTGTAAGTCTTCAAAATCTTGAGACAAATGGGAAGGAAATCACAAATTCCTTGTTAATTGTGCATCAGTACAAAAGCTTAAGGACTTTGCAAAATAAAAATTGTTTTCTTTCCACCCTTTGTGTAAGTGAAATCAGATGTGACATTTAAAAATAATTAAGAAAACCTTTCAGCGTGACACAGACTTGGCTTGCACGCAGCACTGGAGCTGCTCTTTGCTGGCTTGTCCAAACTAATCAAACATGCAGGAGAGACTGAGGTCCTTAACTGGACAAATGAGTCCAAACACTACCTGGGTGCACTGCTCACTGTGCCTCATTTATGAGGAAATAATGAGAGGAATAATTAGTAAACTGATCCCATATGCGACAGCACCAAAACCCACAGCGGCTGAAGTCTATAGTATTTAATCATGAGAAGGGGTCAGCTCAGTTTACTTTTTTTTAATTCCAAAAGGTGGTGTAACATCTTTATTTGTCTTATTGAGGGTTCCATGATGCTAGAACTCTTCCCAGCATGCACTAGGTGCAGTGGTGGAAATTACCATGTTTTTACTGGAGGTTCCTGTACACCCTCTTAATTCAATTCGATATTATAGCCGCACATCATAACCAGAAGTGTATCTCAGAGCACTTTTCAAATAGAGCAGGTCTGGAACGAACTGATCCAAACACATGACATTCATTTTAGTATAAGTTTAAATGTATAACGGGTAGTTTGCCACTGTAATGAAGAATATAACTAAATTATCTGGGTTGACCAATAGCAGCAAAAATACATTACAAGTAAAAATGACACCGCCAGTAGTGAGCACTTTCTCAACTAAATCGTAACATACACAACAGTGGCACCAGTGGCCAGAATAATATCAGTTGGCAGGCAGATGTAAAAGTAGAACTGTTGACTTTTATTTAATATTTTTTTAAGATAGGTAGACCCTGAAGGTGTCCTGAGACAGAAGGGAGGAAGGAAGGGGAATGTAGATTACAATGAACACCACTGACAGTGCCATGGATTTATCAATGTGAGGTACAATAACTAGCAGACATGTTGGGCTACAACACAAGCAGCAACAAACAACACTGTTTTTGAAAGAGGTCAGAGAGCCTGCATCTACAGTATAATAGCCTATGTCATGCGGGGGCAGATCTAGAGGGGTGGCTAAAAATGCCTTGCCACCCCAGTTTGGTGTCAAATGCTGTCAAATTTAACACTTTAATTTAGTTTTTTTAAATTACTTGTTAAGCAAGGGAAATTAATTATTAATAATTATTAATAATCATATTGGCCACATTTTAGACTCAGTGACAGGCTTAAGTTCTATTTAAAAAGACATGTATTTGGAAAAATGTCTGAAGATCTGGAAATAAAACAATGTATTTTTAATGCCACCTTTAGATATTTCTATTCAATGCTTTACTAATGTGTCACAATAATTTAATGTTTGTGAGATCAAATATCTTTATTTGGGAGCATTTCCAGGCAAATATTGATTGATTGAATATTGATATGATTGTTTCTGATTAAATCAGCATATAGTGCTCCCGACTTGTATTTTACCCATTTTAACACTTACACACTGCATTATCAGAGACAACACACACCTGCACTTAGAATGACGCACACACACACACAGATGCACACATGATTTTGAAATGATTTCAGAAACGCTCTGACACTTTTATTGTTACAAAAAAGCAGTAAGGTAAACATAAATATAACAGACAGGCTGTGAGCTTTTAAAATTCCCAGTGTTGCCTGTTCAACAGCCAAATACAGTGCTGCTGTGGGCCCCATTAGGGGGTACTAAGGGGTGGAATCAACGACAATACAAACAGGCCACAGTGAGTCTGGGGACTCCGTAGAAGAGGACCTGCTCCCAGATAAAAACAGCTCAGTATAAGCCTTTTTTTGATA